AGAACAATGCTCATCTAAATGTCTTTCCGCAGCTAATCTTGAGAAGGAACTTTGTAATGAGGCCAAGTTCATCCCCAATCTACAAAATGTCCTTGCTTGTTATTATAATTTGAAGGAGATGTTTAATAAAGAGAAAGCTACTTGTTTACCGCCACATAGACCATATGATTGTTGTATTGATCTACTACCTGGTACCACACCTCCTAGGGGTAAATTATACTCTCTATCCAAACCTGAAAATGAGGCCATGAAGGAGTACATAACTGAGTCTTTAAAAACAGGTATTATACGCCCGTCCTCCTCCCCTGCTGGTCCGGGGTTTTTTTTTCCGTAGGGAACAAGGACGGATCTCTTCGTCCTTGTATTGATTATAGAGGGTTAAATGATATGACTGTTGAAAACCGGTACCCTCTACCATTAATGAATGCTGCTTCTGATTTGATTCAAGGGGCTAAAATCTTCACAAAACTTGATCTTCGCAATGCTTACCATCTGGTGAGAATAAAGGAAGGAGATGAATGGAAGACGCCTTCAACACCCCTTCGGGACATTTTGAATATCTAGTCATGCCCTTTGGGTTAACCAACGCCTCTGCCATGTTTCAAAATATGGTTAATGATGTTCTGAGTGACTTCATCAGTGTTAATGTTTTCATCAACCTAGATGACATTCTAATCTTTTCAAAGGACCTTGAGTCACACCAAGAACTAGTCCGAGCCGTCCTACTACAACTTCTTCAGAACAAGCTGTATGTCAAKGCAGAAAAATGTGAGTTTCACACAACTGACACTACTTTCTTGGGATTTAAGATAGCTCCAGATCAAATCTCCATAGATCCAGCCAAGGTCACAGCAGTTCAAGACTGGAATACACCACAGACCCGTAAACAACTACAGCGCTGTCTAGGTTTTGCAAACTTTTACAGACGCTTCATCAAAAACTACAGTTCTATTGCAGCCCCTCTCAATAAATTAACTTCAATCAAAACCAATTTTTTGTGGAACCTGGAAGCTGAAGAGGCATTCAGTTGTCTTAAGACAATGTTCACCACTGTCCCGATCCTTCACTTTCCTGATACAGGAAGACAGTTTATAGTGGAAGTAGATGCTTCTAATTCTGGAGTCAGGGCCATCCTTAGCCAGAGATTTGCTGATAACAGAGTTCACCCATGTGCTTTTTTTCTAGGTCTCTCTCTCCTGCAGAACGGAATTATGATGTGGGCGATCGAGAACTGTTGGCAGTTAAGGTGGCATTGGAGGAGTGGAGGCACTGGTTGGAGGGTGCTTCCCTGCCCTTTCTTGTCTTGACTGATCACAAGAACCTTGAGTATCTTAAGTCAGCTAAAAGACTAAATCCTCGACAGGCCAGATGGGCTTTGTTTTTCATTCGTTTCAACTTTGTTTTATCCTACAGACCCGGGACCAAGAACACAAAACCGGATGCCCTGTCGAGAGGTCATGAGTTTGACACAACCAAAGGCGACCAGGGAGGGTTCGTCCTTCGAGATGCTGTGCGCCTGGCCATAACCCATGTCGAGTCAGGACAGCCCACCAGAACCACCCACCTCCCAACGAATGCCCGGATGGCAAACTCTTCATTCCAGACCACCTAGTTGGTAAAGTATCGGAATTTTGCCATTCTTCATGTCTTTACTGCCATCCGGGTTTCTCCAAGACAATAAGCATAGTCAGGTCTCAGTTCTGGTGGGGATCCCTAGAAAGGGACGTTAGAGAGTTCATTGGATCTTGTATTCAGTGTGCCCTGGCAAAATCTTCTCGACGGCGGGTCTCCTCAGGCCTCTCCCTACACCATCATGCCCTTGGTCACACATTTCTATGGATTTTGTGACTGGTCTGCCGCAGTCTGAGGGTAAGACTGTGATCCTTACGATTGCGGATCGTTTTTCTAAAATGGTACACATTGTCGCACTCCCCGCTCTGCCCGCAGCCAAGGAAATGGCTCAGGTCTTTATCGACAATGTTTTCAGGCTTCATGGATTGCCAAGCAATATAGTGTCAGACCGGGGCCCTCAGTTTATCTCCAGTTTTTGGAAAGAGTTTTGTGCCATGCTCGACATCTCACTGAGTTTTTCTTCAGGATATCACCCTCAGACTGACAGTCAGACGGAGAGAGCCAATCAAGAACTGGAGGCCCGCCTAAGGATCCTGTGTGGCAACGACGCCACCAAGTGGGCTATGAATCTCTCCCTGGTCAAACATGAACTCAACTGCCTGCCATCAAGTTCCACAAGGTCAGGTTCCAAAGTTCTTCTTCTCTGTGACACAGTGGTTCAACGTGAGAGACTTTTAGAAGTAAGGCAGATGTCCACCAGTCTGAGAATAACTGTCTAAAACTAGAGGGACAATTTTTAGAATAAAGTTCCTAAATGAAAGACTTTGAATCTCCATCATCTCCAACTCATAATCTCATAATCAGATTATCTGTAGAAATCTATGAGCTGAAAAGCTGAAAGCCTGTATTGGATGGTTGTGATCTATAGGCCCTCAGGGGCCACTGCGTTATAAACAAACCTGTTTTAACCAGACAAGTCTGGTTCTGTTCTGGACATCACTGCATGGACTCATTTAAAACTGGACTGTTCTGCTGTAGACAAAAACAGCTGGAGTGCGCAGAAACCAGGTGACCGTGTGATCGGCTGGAGAAGCTAACGGCTAAGCTAAATGGTCAAGAGTCTGGATTTCACATTACTCTACATGTTGACAACAGAGCATAAAAAAAGGACTGACGATGTAGAAATCATAAAAACTATATATAATCTATCTAATGTTTTAAATAATGTCAGAAAAGCTGTTTGTGTTATGGTTTTATTAACAGAAGAGAAGCAGGAAAATGT